AAATTTTGGGGTGATTGCAATACTTTACTGCACACAGTGGGTGTGCGGAAAAGTAAAATATCGTTGTATTTCTCTTATGTAAATATAATTAAAGATCTTTGGTGGTCCACCATTTTTCCATTATAAACTAAACAACAAAGCATGACGATAAGGCAAAATTGCTTGCCAGCGCCACCAAATGACTCCATATGATTCTATATAGTTCTGCGGTTGCCAGCGGTACTAATCTCTAATAGAGCGTTGCCGAGCTGTCATTATCGTCGTGCTTTGCTAAACAAAATCAAAGTGCCGGGCGGTTTACGATGATTTGGTCGATGGATTTACGCATCAAATAATATCCAAAAAAGACGAGAAGAGACGATCGGAATCGTACGAATGCAATCCGAAAATAATTATTCAAAACTCTCGTGATATTGTTTTAAACAAATAAAAAACGCGAGATCGTTTGCGAGATACATAGCTCTCTTCAAAATGGTTGAAGGGCAGGAAATGGTGCTTGTTACGGTGACCATGGAGGAGGCTCGTTGCAATACCTCAAAAACGACTTAAGCATAATAGTTGGTGTTGCCACCTCCGATTGTAAGTGGGAGTTGGATTTACCACAGATTTACGCCAGAATCGCATACTATCTGGATTAGTTTGAATCACACGTTTGGAGTAATTTATACAACTCAAATTAATTTCATCAATTGATGTGCAAATAAGCAAAAAACTACATTTTGCGAATAAAACCACTTTCAAACTTTTTTAAATGTAAGTTTTCATGAATAAATTTTCATTGGTTTCATTTTCCTCAACAAATCTATCACAATAGCACGAAAACTGATTCATCGCATTACAAATGTGTTGCTGAGAATAAAAATGATTGAAATGGTTATATAGGGCGATATTTGATTTAAATATCGTTTCAAAGTTCCTTGTACCTTATATCTTTCTCTAGCCAAATCATGAGAAAACCTTTTCAAGCAACAAATAATCGGTGTTTGTCAGTGTTTGTTGAGGTACTTTAGGAATATTTTATAAGCACCGATTAAAATGTTTTGAGAGCTTTATCAAGTGAAATAATTTTTCTTACACCTTCATAACGTTAATGAACGCCTCTTCACAATCACAGAAGGGTCCTTGAAACTTTCCCGAAAAACTATATGAATTCCGAGCTCCATGATTATATTTATAAAAAAAACCCAAGATATAAAAAATAGGAAATTTTGACTCATTTCGCTCACCATATTCAACCGTATTTGTTGTTATCGCTACTTTGGGCATACAGTAAAACCTCTCAATAAGAGACTCCCACAGACAAGCATATGACACAAAATACAATATGATCTTGAATGGCTTACACCAGTAGTGTGCGGAGAAATTTTTTTCGCGAAATTTATTCGAATTTGCTAGGGTTTTTGATTCAAAAAGTGAAGACCTTTTTTTTAGCTCACCAATGTAGAAAATTGAGGAGAATTCTTTCAATTTGCTAGGGTTTTTAGTTCCGAGAGATTTTTTTCCGATTTGCTCGGGCTTTTGTCGGAGAAAATTCTTTTGATTTGCTAGAGACTTTCGCTCTCAAAAAGTGATATTTGGTATTTCCACTTCAAAAGAAGTTAAAAATATAATAATTCACTGATATGGGGTATTTCCACATTTTTTAAACTTTCGTCGCCATTGTTGTTTACGACTTTGAATGACTAAAACCAGCTTTTATCAAATAGACAGGATCATTCACTTTCATGCGCAAAAGAAACATAAAGTACACGAAATAATATAATCAACAACTCACATAAGCGTTTGTGTATATTTTTCAAAAGTACATATTCGTTAGCAGAGCCCATTATCAAGCATATTCGATGAAGTTCTAAAAGTGCGAAAAACGAACACATTCTCACTGAAATATACGATTAAACCATCTTATCAAAAACATTCTCGCTCCCTCAATCACAAGTATACAATTTGGTTAAATCAAAAGAAATGTAAATTTAAACGATCAGTTCACTTTCGTTTTAATTCTGTTGCGGTCAAGCTAGCAAAGATTGAGTTAAATATACATTTTCGTTTCTCTTTTCAGTGCACTTATTTCCATTGTTAATATTGTAAGCAATTGAATTTCGTGTAAATTCAAACGATGAAATCAATCATCCTAATTCTATGTGTTGGTGCAGTATTGATCAATTGCACTTCAGGTATGTTTTAGTCAAAATGAAATTTATATAACAGTCAAATACAGAATTCGAACACTTGCGGCGACGCACAGCATAATTGCTCTCTATACACTGCTTTATTGTGTAAGATTCATATCATTCAAAATGAAACGTGAAAACCGAGCTTGTGTCGCCGTCTGTTGATGTATCTAAAAAAATAAAATTGATTTCGGATTATAAAATTGAATCCATTTCGTTTCGTCCATTACTCAGCCGTTCTACATACAACGTTTACACGGTGTATTACAACGCAGTCACCTTGCGGCAGACTCTGCCAGAGCTACGCGTCGGTCGTATATATTCTTTATGTATAGAGCGATGACCATAGCTCTGCCGCATTCAAGTGTGAGCGGGTCGAGTCTCGCATAGTATACATAAGTAATACATACGACTGACGCGTAGCTCTGCCGCAAGGTGACCGCGTTGTAATACACCGTGTAAACGTTGTATGTAAAACGGCTGAGTATAAATTTAAATCGATCTTAGACACTGGACAGCGACCAGCAAATGTGTAAGTATAAGTTATTCGGCAAAAATTCAATCATTCTCATAAATCCCATTCATATTTTCCGTATTAAATTCAAAAACTTTTAACTACAGAAAACCATGGAAAAAATTTCATACTGCAGCCCGACTGGGTAAGTAATAGAAACCTGTCAAATTCTAAATTCAAACGTTTATAATGAAAATGTGATTGCTTAATGTTGGGCACAGGTGATCTTCCGAAAATCAAAGAATTGCTGAGAATGGGAACGGATGTTAATATATTAGATACTGGTGAACGTACACCTTTATTTACTGCGGCAGCAAATGGTAATTTCATAATTTTTACTGCAGCAGCGAGTGGTATTTGCTGCCTTATGCACATTTCCAAAAAGCATTAACTAAAATGTTTGAATCTATTACTGTTAGGTCACGATGCTGTAGTTTTGCTGTTATTAAAGAATGGTGCTGATGTTAATCTGAAACAGAAATATGGACGTGCCCCAATTTTTGACGCTTCATACAATGGTATGTCCTGGAAATTTTGATTATTTAACATGAATTACTTTTCCGCACACACCTAGTGTGAAAGGGGAAAGTATTGCAATGGGTCAAAATTTACGAAACCTCAAAAACATGT